TAAAGAATTCTTGGTTCACTCATGTTTAACAAGTTGGGAGAGTTTTATTGGTAATCAGATTTTGTTTCCTTGTGAGTAATGTGATATATCTACCTGGATAGTGAGAGTTTTTTTTTTCTTTGAAGTCTGCTCATTTCACATGCCACATTTTGCTGTGTGTTGTTCTGGGGTCAGTTCTTCAATGAACAGTGACAAGTTTTCCTTTTGAAATGTCGGGTTGTTTTTTGTTTTGTTTGTTTGTTTGTTTGTTTTCTTCTCTACTTGTTCTCTTCCTTTGTCTTGAGTGCTCCCTTATGAGACTCCCATAGTGCATGCATTCAAGCATTCAGCCCTACTTATTGCCATCCACTGGAACTGGAGTTGTTAACCACCAGATGTGGGTGTTGGGAGCAGAACCTAGGTCCTCTGCAAGAGCAGTCAGTGCTCTTAACCACCGAGGAGCTCTCTCTCTAGCCCTCTTTTCTTAACTTTTAAATGTACCTCTTTTTATCTCCTAGAAACCTAAACACATTGCCTGCTGCATATATTTGATTTCTCACTGATTATAGTTTAGTATTTACTTATGGATTCTTTTTATTTTCTAAATATACCATTCCATATTTCTGATGGAGGTTATTCTTCACATATTGAACCATTTTATTAAAGACTACTGTCTCATTAGAAGTGGTTAGAACTAGGAAAAACTACATAATAGAAAACTGTGTGTCTGGAGAGATAGCAATTAAGATTAAGAGCTCATGCTCCTCTTCCAAAGGAAGAGCCCAGCTCCTAACTCACATGGCACACAAGTTCATGTAACTCCAGCTCCAGAAGATCTGATAACCTCTGCTGGTCTCTGCAGAACTCTGCACACATGTGCACCTGTGCACATATCCCTAGAGATAATAAAAATAGATCTGTTTGTTTTGTTTTCAAGAGATGGTCTCACTGTGTAGAGCAAGCTGGCCTTAAACTCAGAGATTCTGATTTTAAAGTTCAGTGATTAAAGATGTGAGCCACCATACCTGGCTAAAATAAAGCTTTTTAAAAAAAAGAGGAAAATATGATACTTTCCATCTTTAAAAGGTCATGTCTACCTGGCAGGGGTTATCAGTACTATGTTATCTTACTGCTTATTTGGTTTTCTTCCTCAAAAACCTCACATTGTTCTGTTGCTAGTTTTACAAGCAATTAAACATTAAAAACAAAAAGCTATGAAAAAGGAGAGAAACCTGAACTTTTGGTTTTAAAGCTCCATTTCAACACTATAACTCATAGATTTCTAAAACCGCTTATTCTTCTCCTGAACTGTTACCTGTACAACTGTCTTCCCTTTGTTGTTGTGGGTGATGTATTGCTCAATGTGGAGACAGTTCTTCAGAAAGAAGCTATGTCATGTAATGGAGACTTGTTGAGTCGATCTCTAAAATTTATGATTACTTGATCCCATACCATACTACAGACTTCTTAAACTCAACTATTCTAGAATGAGAGTCCTCCCCTAATTTCACCGCCATGCCCCAACTGACTTACTGTGTTAACAGTCAATATCTTTTAGTTATCTATGCAGACAAGGCTGTAGCCCAAAAGAAAATCAGATACTGTGTTCCTAGCCATACATTTCCCAGGTCTGTTATGCTTTTATCTTAAGTCCCAATCCTCTGCTTTAGTTGTTAATTTTCTGGTGGTACAGAAAACAGGGGAATGTGTTGAATGGCAGCATGAATTCACCTCGAGTATACAGTTAAAGTCCAAACAGGGATTCCCTATATGTCAAAATCCCATAGTTCTCCAAACACTAAATTGAGAGAGCAGTTTGAAGAAAAAAACCTATAGAGAGGAGATTTAAAAGAGAGGCAAGGCTCAGCAGATAAAGCAATTGCTGTGTAAGCATAATGGCCAGCAATCAGATCCCAGGATTGATATGAATGTTGTGTGGGCATAGTGGCTTGCTAGCAATTCTAGCGTTCAGAAAGTAGAGACAGGAGCAAGCTGGCAACTAGCCTGGCCAAATCAATGAGCAATGGTTTCAACTGAGATAATCTTTAGTTGTGATTGAGGAAGACTACCATATCAATGATTATGACTGGGACAGGTTATGTGTAAGACTTTCCATTTTTATTTTGTCACCTAAGTAGTAATTTCAATAGTATAGTAAAAGTTGATCATTTTCCATTTGGAAAAGGAATAAATCAAAGAAGCTTGCTTTTGCCACCACTGTTAAATATATTTCTGGTTGTCAGATAAATAGGATATGGAGATAAATAGGATACTGATAGATGATAGAAGATAGGTAGATTATAGCTAAATAGATAATGATAGGTAGACTAGAATAGATTAGATAGATAGATGATAGATAATAAGTATATTGTTAAGAAAAAAAGAAAGAAAATGAAATCTACAAAATCTAATAACACATATAATAATTCAAATCAGCAAAGTTGCAGGGTACAAGAAGAACAAGTAAAACTTAACTGTAGCTACACATACCAACAATGAGCAATCTGAAAAGTAAATTTAGCCACCTGAAATTTAAAATAGAATCTAGGTGAATAAAATATCAAATAATAAATGTAACCAAGGAAGTAAAACTCATACAATTAGAATATAAAGCATCCTTGAAATAAATTGTCTTAAATAAATGAAAGAATGCCTTGTATTCTTATAGAAATATGTAAGATGTTAATAGATGTTAAAGATGTTATAAAAATCTGTTGTAAGATGTTAATTCTACCCAGGCCAGATTACATAGTCAACAAAATCTCCACCAAGATTGCCCTTCTCTTTTATAGACTGAAAACCAAGTTTATATAAATTTCAAGGAGCTACAAATAGACAAAGCTAATTTATGATAATCACTATGGGGTGCTACTTGGAAAGAAAATGAATTATTGAGTTCAGAAATAAACCTGTTCCTTATGGCCAACTGATTCAAGGAAAAAAAAAAGAAATTGGATCCTCTGTCTAAGACTCTCTCACAAAAAAGTAACCAAAATGAATCAATGAGCTAAAAATAAAATATAAATCAATAAAATTCTTAGAAGAGAACACACAGGTAAATTTTAATGATCATGGCTTGAGAAATGGATTTGTAGCTACTCTACCAAAAGTGTGTCCAACACAGAAAAGACAGATAAGTTGGATTCCACAAACATTAAAAACCTATGAGCATCAAAAGGCATTCATTCACTTGGAGCTGGAGAGACAGCACAGTAAAGAATACTGACCGCTCTTGCCATGGACACAGATTCAGCTCCAAACACTCAAGCTGGGAAGTTCTCAACCACCTGTAACTCAAGTTCCAGGTGACTTGATGCCCACTTCTGGCCCTGAAAGCACTACATGCAAATGGTGCTCATACTCAGAAATACATACATACATACATACATATTATAAATAAATCTTTACAATTACAAAAAAATGCAAAAAAATCTATCAATATATGAAAGTTTTCACAAATCAGATTTATGACAATTGCCTGGAATCCTAGCTATATAATGAACTATTGTGATTTAACAAAAAATATAACTCATTCTAAAAATAAGAAATTTGGATAGATAATTTTCCAAAGATGCATAAATGCCCAGCATGCACATTATGAAATATTCATTATAATTAGTCATTAGGAAGATACAAATCAAAGCCATAATAACACAACATTAAAAGGGTATACAATGATAACAATGTTTCTAAACCCAGGCACAGTAAAGTCTAGGTATGGATGTGAGGGATTTCAAAAAAAACAAAATGGTACAGCTGTTACAGAAAATTAGGCCATTCCTCAAAGATATAACACAGAAAAACAACGTATATGACCTTCCATTGTTCTCTTATTGATATATTTTAAAAACTAGAAACAGGTGCTCAAATATGTACATGTACACATGTGTCCAGACTGGCACTGCATGTAACAACCAAAAAGCAGAGACAGCCCAAATGGATACACCAATGAAAAATAGATAAGCACTTTGTGGTCTCTCCATACAAGTAATGCAGGATTTAGCCACCCAGCAGAACACAGTAGGTGTTTCAGCAATAAAGGAAAGTGATGGGATAAAATGTGCTCTAACACCATGAATAGATCTTGAAAACATTATGCAGATTGAAAAAAACGTCAGGCACAAAAGGACAAACACTGTACTATCTCTCGTGTATTAAATATTCAAAATAGGTAAATACATAAAGACAGAGAGCAGGTCAGTGGTTCTCAAGGATCTAGAAGAGAACAGAATGAGAAGAAACTGTACACTTAGACAAGAGCTTTAAACTGTCACTTTTCTATTGCTGTAATAAGACACCATAAACAAAGCAACTTACAGAAGAAAGGATTATTTGAGCTTCCAGTTCTAGAGGGATAATAATCCGCTGTGGTATCATCAGCAGGCATGGTGGCAAGAACAAGAAGCTCGGAGCTTAGAGAAAAGAGCAAGAATGAGGTCTTAAGATCTCAAAATCTACCCTTGTAGAATAATACCTTCAATGAGACCATGCCTCATAAACCTCCCAAATAGCACTATCAACTGGGGACCAAATGTTCTGGTTTCTGTGACTATGGGGGACATTCTCATTCAAGCCACTCAACAAATTTTAGCTATGAATGACCAAATGGTTTTAGATTCACTATGCTGAGTAGTGCCGCTACCATTTAGACATACTAAGTGCCACAAACATGTTCACTTTTTAAATTGTTCATTTGTTACTATATGAATTTTCCATAGCAAATCATATGGGCTAATCTTTAAAAAAAAAGTCTCATATTCCCATATACACCTCTCTACCAATTCTATAGGAGAGACTATGTGTATTGTTCTTTTGTGTCTTGATAGGAGAAATACAGAAATGCCAGTTCTGAAAGAGTCACTTAAGAGAAAGGTTAAACTCTTTTCTGGCTCTTGGTGATTATGTTAATTATTTCATAAAGTGGAAAGTTTCCACTTCCCCTCACAGAGCAAAAGCATTATAACACATTTCCTCTGGCTTAGTGTCAAACTTTTAAAACACATGTTTCTTGTATTTTGCAGGCACACTTGGCAAGTACAGGACAAAATTGATGCCAACAATGTGGCTTATACAACTGGGAAGCTCAGTTTCCACACTGATTATCCAGCCCTCCACCATCCACCTGGGGTAAGGTGAGCTTCAACACATTTTCCACAGGCCAGGCCAAAGAAAAATGTTTTTCTGAACTGTTTAGATTATATAGCTCATCACTGGATTTGTCTTAGGTACATTTTCTTTTCTGAAACAAAATCTGAACTCGCACACATCTCATGCCTAAGTCCTGAACATCCTCACTTTTTAAAGGGAAAGAGACATTTTTCACTCATCTTTTTGAAATTCAGTTCTTTATTTCTTCTTGGAAATAACTATTGGAGCATTTTGCTTTGCCAAGACAGATTTTAAGACAGCAATATTTTTTGAGATGTTTCTGTACATATATCATGCCCCTGAGAATTAAAAATGAATGAAATAATGAAACATAATGTGAAGTCACATGTCCATCATTTGTACCAGCAAATGAATTTAAAGCTTTGCAAGTTCAGTTTTTTTTCTGACTCAATTGATAAAAGTGTCCACTGCACAAACAGAAGGATATGCATTCAGATGCCTGTCGCCCAGCTAAAAAGTTGTGGGTGGGTATATGTGTCTGTAATCCCAGCTCTGGGGCATGCTAGCTGACAAGTGTGACTGATTAGTGAGCTCAAGGTTCAGTGAGAGACCATTTCCCTAAAATAAGGTAGAGAGTAATTGATGAAGATACTGCTGTTGTCCTTTGGTGTATGCACGCATGAGTGCACATGTGCACATGCACACGCACAGAGAGAGAGAAAGAGAGAGAGAGGAGACCTACCCAATTTAACAGCTTAAAAGAACAGCCAATAGAGGAAGAACACTTGGCATCCTGCTCCAACCTAGTCATGCACATGCATGGGCATGTGTACACCTTCACATCACATGTTTATATCACACAAAAACAAGGTGAAATTAAAAGCTTAACAAAATATTGCTGGGGTATGTGACTCAATGGTAAGAGTGCTTGACCAGCATATATGAGGCTCTGTGTTCAATCCCTGATAGTGACAAATAATAATAATAAATTCTTATTATTATTTTAATAAACAGCTAAATATGTAGCACGTATGTTTTTACTATTTAAGCTGTACTCAGCTCAGCGGTTATTGTTTTCAGTCATCTAGCTCTTGTCAGCTGCTAAAATGGCTATGAAATAGCTCATTTCAAATGATACTGAGATGGTTTGCCTCTGCTCCCCCTAGTCTATCATCTTTCAACAGGCTAGCCTAGGCTTTCTCACATGGCAGCTGGCAACATTTTGCTTGGGGAAGTCAAACATGTGTTGAGTTCTTGGGACCTTGGCCAGTAATTACCATAAGGTCTCTTCAGTGATGTTTTATTGATCAAAGCAATTAATGAGGCTAGCCCAGACCGGGGAGGGGGGAGATAAGAAAGTGGGATGCTCACATGAAAAACTGCAAAAATGCATTGTAAAGGGATGTGGGCAGAAGGAGCAGAGCAATGATAATAGTGCTGGAAGCCCTCTCCTACCCCACGCACAAGTTTCCTTGATAAAGAAGATGCATGGTGCATAACAGTATCCAGGAGATTACTGACTGGACACTTTCTCTCTCCATCTTTACAAATCATCATCTTTCAAACCAAATACATTTTTACAAAATCATTATTTTCTTAAACCAAAAACCATATGGTCAGGAGATTAAAGAGAGTGTAGCCCTCAGCTTTCAGCTACATTGAACATACAAATCTATATTCTCAGAGGTAGATCAGAAGTTGGGTAATTCTTGAGTTAATTAAGAATAAATGAGCCAAAAATCAAAATGATTCCTTTTGGTCATCATCTTATCTGAACGTGTTTTCTCTGTGCCCTGCTTCTTACACATAGTTCTTGCCAGAATTAGTTAGCTAAGCTAGTCTAATATTTGGCTGCATATGCTTTAAATTATTGTATTGATTGTTCTCTGAACCAAACAATGACAGAGAGATGACTCCTGTGATCACCTTTTTGGTTGGGAGCTGGAGAAGAAAAGGAACAGTGAGGCTTGTTCTTAATGTGGTATGGTGATACCAAAACACTCAACGCATTCCACCTGCTAACAATTGCCTGGAGACATTGAACTGTAGAGCAACTTAAAAAATGGAGTTGAATAACTGAGTCCTACTTGGACTTTTAAATTGTGTTTTACTCTTTCAGAATGTAAGTTTGTTTCTAAGTTAAAACTGAAATCCTAAGAAAAAATTATTAAATGGCTTCCTATACATACCTTAAGTATTTTACAGTATTTTGTACTTTCTTGAAGTTTTCTGTTTCTTTACATGCTCTCTCTTAGAAGTCCTTTAATATTAACAAGCTTGATCATGCCCTGCAGTGTTAGATGAGGACATAAAGTGGAAGGATTTTATAGGATAACCACTAACAATTGAGGAACCTGGACTTGAACATACATCTCTGCCTAGATTTTTACATACCAGCATGCTCCAGAACTGGAGTTACTAAGTTCCATAGTCTGTGATGTGATAGGTTATTTGTAGACATTCTCATATTTTACACAACTATCTTCAAGGACAGTAACTAGACCTTGTACTTATTTATATCTCAAAACCTAAAGCATCTTGTGCATGAACAGAGGCAGGAGAGATCTGCTCTAGAGAAGCCATGGAGTGAAGCATGGCAAAGGAGGCATCCAAGACCAATGACTTTCTGTGCTCAATAAATAATGACCCCTGGAATGTTTTCGTTCCAACAGATAGACACACATAGGCCACCTATCTTATCGTTCACATTCCATTTTGAATTATGAAGAGTTTTTAATACCAAAGTTTGATCTTTTCTTTAACAAATAGAAAAGGTAAATGTCCTTTTCAGTATATTTGAAATGATCTGGAAAATGAGTTTCCTAGTGAGGGTTCAGATTGATCAGGATGAGGAGACATAGCTTAAATGATACACAGATGTGGCTTTTTTTCTCTGGGCCAAAAGTCACATGCTTCCATAAGGAAAAATTTAGAAAGGAATTTTTTTTTTATTCTGAATGATTTATGTGAAATAAAATTGGATTTTATATATGACAGGAGTATATTTAGTTTTTGGATTAGTGGTGGAAATGTTGTCAGGCTTCATAATCTGTTTTCTTTTATAAGATTGTATTAAAATATTACTACAGAGAAAGGAGATATTATTTGGCCTAGTCATATGTGAAAGATATCAACTGGCCTTTTTAAAAACCATTGGAATCAATGGGCTCATTACAACAAAATCCAAAAGAATAGAGCTGCTGTGATTCTCCTGAGGACAGAGCTATGTTCATGCTGTGTCTTTTGGAACCCTGCAGACTTGCAGCTGACATGTCGATCTCTCTTTTGTCTCATCACATTGCCTGATCTCTTCTTGACCTGCTGAAATGAGTTTTCTAACATGGCTTGATCAAGAAGTGCACATATTTTCAAGGTGAAAATTTGCCTCCATTTAAATATTGAATCATTACTTATTTGTTCAAGGTATCTTCAACTTTGGGAAATAAGCTTACTTTTTTCATATATGTACATAAACACCTAAGACTGGATTTCTTTCCTTTTGGTTTTTTGAGACAGGATTTCTCTGTGTAGCCTCAGTTGTCCAGGAAAACACTTTGTAGACCAGACTGGCCTTGAACTCACAGAGATCTGTCTGCCTTGCCTCTGACTCCTAAATGCTGGGATTAAAGGCATGCACCACAACCACCTAGCAAGACTAGATTTCTAAGAGCTCTATAAATGAGAAGAGGGACTTTCTTTGTTTTGGATTTATGGCAAATGGGCCAAAGTTTAAATACCATCTTTATCAACATATTAACTGAATTTTTAATTATGAACGTTGACACCTCTGTTTCAATAACTCCATTTGTAAGACAAATTTATCAAATTCTAAGTATATTATAAAAAAGAATGTGCATGACACAATTATCATTTGAGAGCAACTTGTGTATAAAATCATAAAAATTGCAAAACCCCTGTGGCTCAGTAATATAAAGCACATGCCAGGCATGTAAGAGAGCCAGAGTTCGGATCACCACATTGCAATTCTCCAGTAATCTCAGCACCTACAAAACATCCACTAAGGATTCCCTGATCAACCTTCTTTACTAGCTAGATTATTAGTGAGCCCTAGATTCACCTAAAAGAAAAGTTTCATCAATGAATAAAGTGGAGAAGAATGGAGGGAAACCCCTATTGCTAACCCCAGGCCTCTGAACACATGTGCACATGCTCACATATACCACACACATATGTACCCCCATGCATGTAAACATGCATACACCACATACAGACATGTACAAAAATAAATATTAAATACAATTTTAAATTAAATTCTTTAGTCACAATAACTGTATCTCATGTACAGTGGCCATGTGGGACTGGTGATTACTGTATTACACGACAAAGAAGAACATGTCCATCACTACAGAAAGTCTTGAGGACCACTGTTCTAAACCACATGTGGGTAAAACCAAGCTAAATGAATGTTTTTCTCACTAACACAGATATCCACCCAAGCATGGATATTTTATTCTTTTGTGGTATGAGAAATCAGCGAGACAATAAATTAAAATGTATTAGAATTAGTAAAAGTGAAGTTTTCCCAACAGAATACCATTAGATCTTTCAAGCAGAAAACCAGGCTCTAAATTTAGGTGCTCAGAATCACCTAACCCAAATTAACCTACTAAAAGGAGTCACAAAATCAATGAGAAACTCTCTTCATAAAACAATTCTTTTAGTTTTTCTGTTTTGATTTTCCAGTGGTAATATGTTCACTATGTTCAGTTAAAACATAGTCCAATTGATACTTCCCCCATTTGGTTTGCCATTTCTGGTGTTTCTTGTTTTTACCCATCCTCCCATAGTCCCAGCCAACTTCATTGCTTTTGTATCTTCCAGTCTGAACTGGAAGCTGCAAGTAGCTATGGCCTAGCATGTTCCCATCTTAAAATCAGTGTACCAGAGTGACACTACTAGACTGATACATTATTCTTCAGTGCAGTCCATGCTATATCCAGAGTCAGTGTCCCTTATGAACAACAAAAAGTACAAGAAACCTTCATCTCACACTTAAGACTGTTAGAGACAAGAACACGATTATCCTTTCAATTTGACCTACTCCACCCATGATAATGCTCTGCCAATCATTTTATTACTCGGTATACTGTATATTTTTCCAGCCCTATCATTACAGTCACCTATAACATGAATAATAAAAACTCATAAACATATATTGGGGTTAAAGCTGAAGACCAAATAAGCAAACCAGCCAGTTACTAGAGAGTTCTCACGTCTACCAATGCTCAGATCGAAGGGGCAGTCGTATCCTCTGATTGCACTTCCAAACTGCACTGCCTCTCAGACTGTCTAGACTGCTCTGAGATCCTGCCTTATATTCCTCTCTAGTGCTGGGATTAAAGGCACAACATCCCAAGTGCTGGGATCAAAGATGTGAGCTCTGTTTCTCTTTTTAACTGATTCACTCTTATGTAGCCTTGGGCGGCCTTCAACTCACAGAGATCCATCTTCCTCTGTTTCCTGAGTGCTGAGATCAAAGGTGTGGCCACCACTACCTGTCCTTTATTGCTAACTAGTGACTTAGGTATGTGACTAACTAATGGCTTTGAGTGTGTGTGTGTGTGTGTGTGTGTGTGTGTGTGTGTGTGTGTGTGTGGCTAACTAGTGGCTTAGCTCTTAACTAGATGTGTGGCTAGCCAGTGACTTATCTCTGCATTCTGATCTTCAGGCAAGCTTTATTTGTTAGATTAAAAATAAACTATCACTAGAGTCACCTATTTTTATTCTAATTCTTTTATGTAACTCAGGTTTTATCCATAATCCTCGGTCCAGCTTAAACCTGCCTCTGTTATTGCCTTCCCTGCCTCCAGTTAGTGTAATCTGTGAACTTTATTCTATGCCCATATCTTTAACTCCAGCAGGTTTGAATTATACCCACATTATTGTAAGCAACTTTTCACCTCCCCACTTCCTCTCAATACTGACATCAGAGAACAGGTGTTTTTAAGTTTATTGGTTTATTTTTTTATTTGTATCTTTTTAAAATATTTAACATAGTAATTTTTAGAAGTGGGTGCTGTTATCTTGACCTATTTCTCCATGTCTCCTTACAGGTTCAGCTTCTGCACTGCATAAAGCAAACAGTCACAGGAGGTGATTCTGAAATTGTAGATGGGTTTAATGTGTGCCAAAAGCTCAAGGAGAAGAATCCTCAGGCATTCCACATTCTGTCCTCCACCTTCGTGGATTTTACAGACATTGGGGTGGATTATTGTGATTTCTCTGTGCAATCTAAACACAAGATAATAGAGTGAGTAGTCTTATAAATTTCCTATACTTGAAACAGCTTTAAACAGCAGGAAGCTTTGGTTAACTCCAAAGCTTTGACTTAATATGTTGCTAGAAGAAAAAAAAAAAGACGATGAAGAAATGGCATTAAAAAGTCACCAAGCAACATGAATTTTGTTCTCAATCAATATTGGATTTTGGGGTAACTAAGAATTCATGCATACTTCATTTTTAAGTATAAACTCTGCCTTGTCAATGAGATTAATTATAGCTGTTAGAAAGTGTACATTTGGAAGTGAAAGAATATAAAAGAGATAAATCCAGAAGTTAAGTCCGGTCAACCAGGAGCTATTGGTTTTTGCTTCTGAGCTTTGCCATCTTGTTGGCTTCATTTTCAAACATAAATCTCACAAGCTCAAAGTTTTTCATCATCCTTCATGCTAGCAACCGTAGCACAAGAACAGCATTTTTATTTCAAAAACTATGCCACATCCGGATGACTCCCTGCCCAGTCTTATCTAAGTCTGTCCATGAGACAATCACCAGGATGGCCTACCAGGGAGTTGCAGAGTGCTGCTTGCCCATAGCTGGATCCCATGTGCACCTCTGGAGTAGAATCTGCCTCATTTTAGTCACATGTACTACCAAAGAAACACCCCTCAGAGAGTTCTAAGTCAGCAGAAATCATATGTATATCCTACGTAGATGATTTAGTTTTATCCTTTTTAAAAACTTCAATGTGAGTACATGATGAGAAACATCTTATTTTCTTTGACAGGGTTGGTCCTTCATTCTTAAATAGGATACATTTCTCCATGTTTCCTTTTTTACATAACCAATTCTCTTTCTTTCCTCTCTCCCCCCATCTCTCACTGTGTGTGTGTGTGTGTGTACCTGTTTATATAGATGCATATATATGATGTTCATATGAAGGCAAGAGTGTGTTTCTCAATTGTTCTTTACCTCTCTCCCTTTATTTTGAGACAGGGTCTTTCATCAATCCTCACACACAGAAAGTACTTTGACATCTGAGATATCTCCCCCACCTTATCTTTTCTACTAACACAATTTAATCATGATTTTCTTGAACATAAAAAGAACATTGATTTAACTTTTCATTTGAAAATTGCCTTCTGTGTTGGTTTTTATAATATCCTGTATTTAACTATATCTCAGTCAAAACTGGAAAGGGTTACACTTCAGAATCAATCTGTATTATTTCAAAAAAAAAATAACCAAATAGCACAGAAATAAAGTAACACACACACACACACACACACACACACACACACACACACATATATATATATATATGTTTAATTTTTCAGCCAAATTACAATTTGTTTAATTATAATTAATGTTTAAAGATACTGCACATGCTCCAAAAGCAAAGGAAAGCAGAGTTCAAGTTTGAGAAAAAGGGGGTCTGTAGCTCTATAGACTTTGTAAGGAAGATACTTGGTTGCCAAACTTTCCTTACATTTCAGCAAACTGCTGAACACACATTTTATGGGTAGAAATAGATGATTTTCTGGAGACGTTGGATGGAAAATGTGGAGAAAAGATAAGTTTCAGAAATAAATTTTAGGTAAAAATAAATATAATGTATTCTTTGGTGACTTGTGAGATGAGAAATTTTCCCCTTTGGAAATATGGTATCTTTATACAGCTTATGTTGTGTTCGCCCTGAGATACTCGTGTCTCAAACTTCTGACAAGCATGTACAGCTGCCCCCAGCAACTCAAGAATATTATTTATAACTTGCCAGTTAAATTCAAACACTACTTTTTAAAATGCTATTTGGGATTTCAACTTGATATAAATAGGCACAATATGTATAATTATACAAATATATCTAAACATCACATCATCCTATTTTGTTTAATCTGTATGTTTTTAATGGATGCTCTATTTCTGACATATCTTCTAAGAGAAATTGATCCTTATTTGATGTTAATTTTGCCTATTAAATAAAACAGGTTGGATGATAAAGGTCAAGTGGTTCGCATCAACTTTAACAATGCAACCAGGGATACAGTCTTCGATGTTCCCATTGAAAGAGTTCAGCCTTTCTACTCTGCTCTGAAAGAGTTTGTTGACCTCATGAATAGCAAAGAATACAAGTGCACCTTCAAGATGAATCCAGGTGAGTAGAGGGAAATGGTATCCAGACTGGTATCACTGCAGACTATTAATGAGCATCTAATTTGCCTAAATAGAATATTTAGTGCCATCTCTACTTCTAGGCAGTTGACTCCTCAGAGTTAAAAAAAAAATAGTCCTTTTTGCAAGCTCTCTTGGAAATCCTAGCACATGAAATTTAAGAGCCTTCAATCTAAGGATACTTAAAAGTGATGCCAGATGAAGCTTATGTATAATATTAAAAATGTTTTACATTTTCTGTCCAGATAGTCACCTTCTTAATAAGCTTTTTGAAAACTCTGTCATCTGTGTGATTTCCCTATTTTATTAAAGTCAACACGGCTCAAACCCAAGAAAGGATGCTATTTTTCCCTTACACCAAATTCTATATTATATTAAGTATCATGATCACAAGTTAGATTCTAAGAAATGGTATAGAAATTACAACTTGAAAATCACTCAGTCCTAAAAATGCACCACTTCCTCTTGAGATAGTGGAAAATATAGAGTGTACAAACGAAATTTATTTTAAATTCTTCTGACTTGTTAAACAAAAAACCTTTGTAATTCCTTCTCCAAAATACATGAGTAATGTTTATTGATAAAACTTACTCACAAAGAGAGTAATACTAAAACAAAGCAGGACTCAGCCAAACTTGAGCTATTTTTTCTTGTTATTGATTTTTCAATTAACAATAAAATTGTGTTTAGCATATATATTTTGAGATATGAATATTATGGAATGGGTAGCTTGAGTTAATTAATAATGCACATTTTACAATCTATCAGTTTTCATGAAGGGAACACGTAAGATCTATCTTCTCAATGATTATAGCAATCATTATTGATTATCGTCTCCATGTTGAACAACAGATCTAAACATGAAAGTTCACATGTTATTTGCAATAAAAGGCATAATTTCTTTTTGTTGCTGATTTGGCCAATTTGAACATTCTTTTAATTATTTGAATTTTTTGAGATTCTGTTTACTTCTCTTTTTGCATGTATGAGGGTTTGCCTGAATGTATTTCTGTGCACTACAAACATACAGTGTCCAGAGAGTACAGAAAGGGGCATTGCATCTCCTGGAGGTAGAGTTCCAGACAGCTGTGAGCCAACATGTGGATGCTGGATATTGAACAAGGATCCTCTGCAAGAACAGTACTCTTTACTGATGAGCCATCTCTCCAGGACCTAAGCACACCCCATACATGCTCAAACTCATCTTTAGCTCCCAAGCTAAACTTCAACAATACTCGTGCTTCATTCTCCTAAGTAGATGACACTACAGGAACACACACATACCACACCTAGTTAAGTTGTTTTTAGAAATCCTCTTTGACATAATAAATGGAATAAATAGAACTAGATAACTCCATTAAGCCTTCAGCATGCAGTCAGAGCAGATTTATTTTAGGGGTAACACCCTATAAAACAGAAACATCATGAGAAAAAAGTAATAGTAGGACCTGGAATCTAAGTCTTAACCATTTAGTGGCTTTGGGTAAATGCCTCAATTTGAGTTTTCTCATATATGAAGAGATGAAATACTGCTTTCTTTTCAGTATTTCCTTTTTTTAAAAAATGTATATAAAATATAGAGGATGTAGGACATAAGCCAAAACTTTACTATCCTTATAGTTATTTGAAGCTATTAAACTGGGAAGCAATGTATATTATTGATGTTTTCAAAAGTAGAAAAATACAAAACCTTTACCACGCCCATGATAGCCCATCAAGTTATGAAGTTTAAATATCATGATCCATATGGGAACTATTGCCTATGGTTGTGTATCACAGATGATCTTAGCAAGTTCCAATAAACAGTTCCAACCCAACAGTCATTTAGAAGGCCTTGGAAAAACTAGAGGGGTCACAAAAAAAAAATCAAAAGTCAAGAATGTAGGAAAGGGATTGGATGTGATGAGCATAGGCAGTGGCAGGCATGGGAGTATGAGAGAGTGGAGGGAGAGTATTTAGAATGCACATGTACAAAATTGTTCAGTAGCAAAAAATTAGTTTTTAAAACAAAAGCCATAGGTGTAAAATTTTGTTTACAAGAGAAACATATTTTTTCTTGGTGTGAACCGAGTAGTGGTGGCATCTCATATATTACATTTTCTTGGTATTTGCTTTCTTAATGAATACAGTACATTCTTACTAATTATAGTCACTATGGCAAGCAACAGATCTGAACATGGAAATTTTGTTATTTGTACCAGAATGCATAATTTCTATCTTGTAAGTAATAATTTTTATCTTTGTAACTCATCGAAACACAAATTATTCATGTTGAAAATTTCTCCTAATTAGGTGATGTGATTACCTTTGACAACTGGCGCTTGCTCCATGGACGTCGTAGCTATGAGGCAGGAACTGAGATATCCCGCCATCTGGAAGGAGCTTATGCTGACTGGGATGTAGTGATGTCAAGGCTGCGTATTCTAAGACAGAGGGTCAAGAATGGGAACTGATTTTCCTGTTCTTAAATCTTAGTGCAAGTCTAATGACTGAATGTTATTAGTTATAGCCATACTATTCTCATATCATGATCAACATCATTTACATATTAATTTCTTTAAATCTGAACATGCAAACATGTAATTTCTCTTATCAGAGTATTCTTCCTTGCTATCACAATCAATGTCATGGTAGATGTCATGATAGGGGCCATTTTAAAGCATCCCTTCTGTGATAATTGTGCTCTGACTTCCTTTGTTTTGTGAGTGTCACCAGAACACCTATAATTAGTTCTGAATGAAACAAATCTTTCTGACAAATAAAGCTTTTTGTGTAGAAATAAAGATTGTGCTTTAAATAAAATGTCTTAAAACACATCCCCATTTGGTTGCCTACATGATCTCATTTTTCATAACTGCACATCATGATCTTTAAGATGCTTGGAAAAGGCTTTATGTTCTAAAAGATCTCTTTTATTCACTCATCTTGAAGGATTTTGTTGTCCATGTTTACAGAGATCTCACACACTTGATGATAGTCCTAACATTGTTTGTAATATTTATGTCATGGAAATAAACCCAAGTATGTCTGATTAAAAAAAAAATCTAGTGTCTGTAAATTTGGCTTGGCTAAAGAAATGCCCCCTATAGACTTTAAGAATTTCTGTCACCTAAAGATATATCATTCCTCCTCATTCCTTACCTTCAACTCAGGAATTCTTAAAAGAGGCAGGCAACCTAATTGACTAGACAAGATGTTTACTCACCTCTGGGCAGCCTTACCAGCTGGTCTCAGCTTCCCACATGGCCACTTACTACCCTAGTGATGGACCAAAGATGGCACAGTGCAGCATGAAGTTGTAGTCTGTTGAGCCTCCTATTCCAGGGAGATAAAGAAGCTTTGAAATTCTGATTTCTTGAGATTCCGGTATCACCTACATATTCCATTTTGTATGCATTTGAATCTGTAAACTTTTTCTAGACATTTTTAAATTTATTCATTTATTTTATGTCCTGACTGCAACCTCCCCTCCCTCCTCTCCTCCCACTGCCTTCCCTACTTCCCCATCCTCCCATCCACCCCTCCTCCCTCCATATTTGATCAGAAAGGGGCAGGCCACCCCTGGATATCAGCAAAGCATGGCATATCAAGTTGTAGTAAGACCAAGCACCTCCCCAACTAACAGCATGGGGAATAGGTTCTCAAGAGCCAGACAAAGCACCAGAGTCAGCTTTGCTTCCAATGCCAGGAGTCCCACAAACAGACCCAGCTACACAACTTTCACATATATTCAGAGGACCTAGGTTGGTCTGTGCAGGTTCCCTGGTTGTTGGTTAAGACTGCAAGTTCCCATGAGTCAGGCTAGATATTTCTTTGGGTTTTCCTCGGAAATCCCTCACAAATACACACACACACACAAACACACACACACACACACACACACACACACACCACATATACCCTGGCTTCTACAATTCCTCCTCCCTCTCCTCAGGAGGACTCCAGGAGTTCCACCCATTGTTTGGCCATTGGTCTCTGAACCTGCCTCCAACAGTCACTGGATGAAGGCTCTTTCCACTGACAAGCGACAACCACGGTAGTCACCAATCACAGGGGACAGCCAGTTCACTGCTGCCATGAGTCTTAGCTGGGGCCATCTCTGGGGATCTTTGTGAAATTAATTTCAGTTAGCATACAAAGTAGGAGGTTTCATTGTAGTAACATCATCTTAATACATATTCATCTTTATTAGCTTCCCCCAATGTCTTGCCTCATCTTCTATCTTGCTGTTTAAGGCTTGGAGAACTATATTGAATAAGATTGGAAAGACTGGGCACCTACACCTCATTTCTGATTTTACAGGAAATTCTTCCAGCCTTTCTCCATTAAGTATGATATAGGTTAGATATAGGTTGTCACATCTGGCCTTTAATATGAAGGAATATGTTTCTTCTGTTCCTAGTTTCTTCCAACTTTTAATCATGAAGGAATATATAGGCTCTTTTTTAATCCATCAAGTTAATGGTGTGCTTACTATCATAGCTTATTTTTGTGCTGTATTAACATTTTGTCAACTTGTATATGTTGAAAGTATCCTATCCCCACAACAAAATCAACTCCATCCTCATATATGATCTTCTTTAAAGTTCTTTAATTCAGTTTACAAAAATTTTAGTAATAAGCTACATCTATGTTCATCATGAAAATTAGTCTGTAGTTTTATGTTTGTTGATTTATTTGTCTGTTGTTGTTGTGCCCTTATCTAGTTCTGCATCAAGATGATGCTGGCTTAGTAGGAGTTTTTTTAGCTTGCCTTTATTTTCTAATTCGTCTACAGTCTAAGAAATACTAATGTTCACTTCTTTTAATGGTTTGGTAAAATTCACCAGAGCCTCCTAGCCCTGAGCTCAACTTTTTAGGGACAGTTGTTATTATCACTTCAACCATTTACTTTCTATGGATCTGTTTAAGGCCTTCATATCCTATTGATTTAATTTTGGTAAATCATATGTGTCTCAGAATTCACCTTTCTCTTAGATTTTTCTTTTAGGTATTTTTGGATTATAAATTATCAAAGTTTTCACTAAGATCCTAAAATTCATATGGAAGCACAAAAGACCACAAGTGTCTGATACAATACTGAAGGTATTTTCATATCTAATTTCACTGGAATCGCTTGTCACAATCCTCTTTTCACCTCTAGTTTTATTAATTTGAGTAGTCCTGATTCATTAATTTCTACCCTGACCTAGATTTTCTTTTCTATGGTATGTATCTGTTTGTGAATCTGGGAACATATAAGTACATGCATGTACCCTTGGTGTCCAGAAAAGGGAGTCAGATATCCTGGGGCTGGAGTTATAGGCAGCTGTGAGCCATATGACATGGGTACTAGGAACTGAACTTGGGCTCTCTGAAGTAGTAAGAAGTGCTACTAACTGTTGAGCTGTACTTCAACACCTTTTCTATTGTTTTATTTTGAATTTGATTGCTCTTTGCCTTTTGAGCCTTTAGGTGTATCATCAGGTTATTTGAAACATTTTCTGTTTTGTTTTGTTTTTTGTTGTTGTTTTGTTTTGTTTTGTTTTTTAATGTGAGTACTTATATCTATAAACTTTCCTCTTAGGATGCCTTAGCCATATTTCAAATGTTCTGATAGTATACTTCTTTTCATATGGCACTAGGATTATTTTTCTAATTTCTTCTCCCAATTTCTTCAATAACCCATTGGATACTCAAAGGAATTGTTAATTCCTTGAATATTTGCATAGTTTTTATAGTTTTCCTCTTATTAATTTCTACTCTTATTTTCCTATGGTCTGATGAATTATAAGAAATTATATAAATTATTTTGTATTTGTTAAGACTTGTAGCCTTAGAATATGTTGTTTTAGAGGTTTAGGTAATGGATATAAGTAAAGAGACAACAGGTATGGCCTCAGAAGCACTGTTCAGCCTGAAGTGCAGTAGCTCTGCTGTCTGAGATAAGGAAGCATGCAAAGCAGATTTAGAATCCTACTAGATATCTAGATACAAACATTTACAAAGTGATTGTAAAATAATCTGAAATGTATGTGCTTAGTGGCACAATCATGGCTGTCTGGAGCATGAATGGAATTCTGTATCTCATTCCTGGACATGAGACATTTCTTTGTGTAGGGGGAACAAAAGCATCTGGGGAGGTCTGCAGAAGTCATTTTCTGCTGCAAGCTCCTGGTACTTTCTATAGGGCAAGCCATGGGGTCAATACTGATGAACACTATGAATAGTATGGGGGCTCCATGAAGTTTATGGAAATATTAGGATCCCAGCGAAGTCATCTTCCACAAAGCAGATGACCTGTGACCTATCGTGATAGCACTCTTCACACAGCAAATGCTGATAGTCACTGGCATTCTTGGTTTTGTTTTGTTTTTGTTTTTTTTAATCCATCTCCAGACTCTGCTAATTGAATGCTGTAGTGGTCCTATCTCTGGAATTATCCTCTTCCTTTGCTCTATTGTGTCACTATAGGTTCTTAATTGTATCCCTCAGCTTCCTCAGATCTAAACACTTTTGTGGATAGCTATCCAAGTTTCCAAAAAGGAGTGAAGAGAATGATTTTTCCTCCCCTATCTTATTTGTGACATGACTGCTTTGCTGCTTGTTAAAAGCTACATAATTAATGGCAACTGATAAATAAAAGAAAATTATGTCCAAAACTGTCTTACCTAAGAAAATTTAGAATGGGGTAATGATTGTGTGTTACGAGTAAGGTTTTTTCCTGGGCCCACAGCTGCGCCAGCCCCAATTAACACACAGAGACTCTGTATTTGATATGATGCTGTTGGCCAGGTACTAGTTGCTTATCGGCTAGCTCTGCCTTAATTATTAACCCATTTCTGCTGATCTATGTATTTCTCTTACCGGGGAGCCAGTTGGCATTCTGCTTTCTCCAGACTCTCCATCTTGACTCCTCCTTTCTACTTCCTCTTTCCTCCTTGTCTCCTAGTCCCTCCTATCGTCCTTTCCTATTGGCCAATAGTGCTTTATTCATTAACCAATAAGAGAAACATATTTACAGAATGACATCTCCCATCAATTGTGTTTCTTTAGTAGGTAACTCCTATAGAAATTCCTATCACTGTGGGTATGTCTTCCTCAAAAAAGCTGTTGGGATTTTGCTTTGATCCTTGGAAAGGCAAAACATTACATTCTACCATCAATACTTCCAGCTATGATCAGGAACAAGGTCAAGACTTTCAGACATCAGTTACTACTAGTTGTCACAAGCATTTCAATGTCATTTTAGTACATCCAATCTTTTAAATGCACAGCCTGAAATCTGAAAGCAATTTTATACAGGGAATGGAATAGATATAGAGAAATGTGTTCTCTTTTCATATGTGTGTCTAGAGTCATTTCAATCTTTTCTCTATCTACCTTTGCACCACCAGTAGACTGAGTATGAGATCTTTCGGTGTATTGGGTTTCTCAAATCAACTTTGGTGGTAAGAATTGCAGTTTGTTATAGGTATATTTAACAGGGAATAAGACTTATGTATACTAAAATAAAATGGCATATCCAGGGCTGGAGAGATGGCTCAATGGTTGAGAGCACTAAATGCTCTTCCAGATGACCTGGGTTCAATTCCAAGCACCCATATGGCAGCTCACAACTGTCTGTAATTTCAGTTCCAGGGGACCCACCACCCATGGCAAAACACCAATATACAGTAAAAAACAATTAATAAAATGCCATATCCATCTTTATGAATCTTCTGTACCCACAGTCCCACCATCAGTCAAACAGATGCATATCTCTGTATGAGTAGCCCAGAGCAACTCTTGAAGTACAACAAGCAACTCTACATTAATCTTTTGAAAGAGAAACCTT